CCCGGGCTGCCCGAGCCGGGGGCGCGGGGGATGCGGGCAGCTGCAGCCCGCCGCCGCCGCCGCCGCTGGATGCCTGGGCTCAGGCGGATCTCCCCTTCGCCGCCTTCCTGAGCTGGATCGCCACCCCCTCGCGCCAAGCCGCCTGCCCGAGAGCCATGGGCTGGCCGGCGGCCCCAGCCTGGCTGCTCCTGTGCGCCCTGGTCCTGCCACTGCCGCTGCCTGCCCGCACCGAGCCCCGCCAGGTCTTCCAGGTGCTGGAGGAGCAGCCCGCTGGCGCCTGGGTGGGCACCGTTGTCACCCGCCCGGGTTTCACCTACCGCCTCAGCGAGCACCATGCCCTTTTCTCCATCAACGCCACCTCCGGAGCCCTGCACACCCGGGCCACCATCGACCGGGAGAGCCTCGCCAGCGACGTGATGGACCTGGTGGTGCTGTCCAGCCAGCCCACGTACCCCAGCGAGGTGCGGGTCCTGGTGCTGGACCTGAACGACAACGCGCCCGTCTTTCCGGATCCCTCCATTGTGGTGACCTTCAAAGAGGACACGGGCAGCGGCCGCCAGCTTATTCTGGACACGGCCACTGATGCGGACAGTGGCACTAATGGTGTGGACCACAGCTCCTACCGCATCGTGGGGGGCAATGAGGAAGGGCGTTTCCGGCTCAACATCACCCTCAATCCCAGCGGGGAAGGAGCCTTCTTGCATCTGGTCTCCCGGGGTGGGCTGGACCGAGAGGCCACCGCTACCTACCAGCTCCTGGTGCAGGTAGAGGACAAGGGAGAGCCACGGCGGCGTGGATACCTGCAGGTCAATGTCACCGTGCAGGACATCAATGACAACCCACCTGTCTTCAGCCAAGCGCTCTACCAAGCCCGGGTGCCTGAGGATGCCCCAGTTGGGGCCAGTGTCCTTCAGGTGGCAGCAGCTGATGCTGATGAAGGCACCAATGCTGACATCCGATACTACCTGGAGGGGGCAGAGGGTGGTGGTGGGGAAGGGGCTGGGAATATCCCGTTTGAGGTGGACCCCGAGAGCGGGGTGATTCGCATCCGGGAGCCATTGGATTATGAGATACGGCGGCAATACTCGCTGACTGTGCAGGCCACGGACCGGGGAGTGCCAGCGCTGAGCGGCCGAGCTGAGGCCCTCATCCGCCTGATTGATGTGAACGACAATGAGCCGCGGGTGAAATTCCGCTACTTCCCTGCCACCTCTCGCTTTGCATCGGTGGATGAGAATGCCGCTCCTGGCACAGTTGTGGCACTTTTAACTGTGAGTGATGCTGATTCGCCTGCTGCCAATGGGAACATCTCGGTGTCCATCCTGGCAGGAAATGAGCAGCGTCACTTTGAGGTGCAGAGCAGTAAGGTGCCTAACCTCAGTCTCATCAAAGTAGCAGCTGCACTGGACCGGGAGCGTATTCCTGCTTACAATCTCACCGTGGCTGTGGCCGATAACTTTGGGGCTCCCCCACCATCACCAGGGTCCCCTAGTCCCTCCCTGTCTCCGGACGGGGCAGTTCCTGCCGCAGTGAGCCGCTCTTCAGTGGCCAGCCTGGTGATATTTGTGAATGACATTAATGATCACCCGCCTGTTTTTGGGCAGTCTGTTTACCAGGTCAATATCAGTGAGGAGGTACCACTGGGCAGCTATGTGCGGGGTCTTAGTGCCACTGACCGTGACTCTGGTCTCAATGCCAACCTCAAATACAGCATTGTCTCTGGGAATGAGCTGGGCTGGTTCCGCATCAGTGAGCACAGTGGCCTGGTCACCACTGCGGGCACTGACATTGGCATTACTGGCCCTGGTAATGGCATATTGGCCTCTGGTGGGCTGGACCGAGAGAGGGCCTCAGAGGTGGTGCTGAACATCAGTGCTCGTGACCAAGGAGTACAGCCCAAATTTTCTTATGCTCAGCTGATGGTGACCATCCTGGATGTCAATGACAACAGACCCTGCTTCAGCCAACCAGAAGGTTACCAGGTGTCCCTGGCTGAGAACTCCCCCTCAGGCACTGAGTTGCTGGTCTTGAGTGCCACTGATGGGGATTTGGGGGACAATGGGACTGTGCGCTTCTCCTTGCAGGAAGCTGAGCCAACTGTGGCAGCAGTCGGCCCCTTGATAGCCCCTCGTAGGGTCTTCCGCCTGGATCCTGTGTCAGGCAAGCTCAGTACCATCACACAGTTAGACAGAGAAGAACAGAGCTACTACTCCCTTCAGGTTCTGGCCACTGATTTAGGTTCTCCTCCCCTTTCCTCAGTAGCCCGGGTCAACGTGAGTGTGCTGGATGTGAATGACAACAGCCCTGTGTTTTACCCAGTTCAGTATTTTGCCCATATTCAGGAGAATGAGCCTGCAGGCAGCTATCTTACCACTGTGTCTGCTACCGACCCAGACATGGGACTCAATGGGACAGTCAAGTATAGCATCTCAGCTGGAGACACCTCCAGGTTTCAGATCCATAGCCAGACAGGGGTCATCACTACAAAAATTGCCCTTGACAGGGAAGAGAAGACTGCCTACCAGTTGCAAATAATGGCCACTGATGGTGGACATCTCCACTCCCAAAATCAGGCCATAGTCACCATCACTGTCTTGGACACTCAGGACAACCCCCCAGTTTTCAGCCAGGATGTATACAGTTTTGTTGTCTTTGAAAACGTTGCTCTGGGCTATCATGTTGGCACTGTTTATGCTTCTACAATGGACCTCAACACGAACATTACCTACCTTATTACAACAGGTGACCAAAGGGGCATGTTTGCAATTAACAAAGTGACGGGCCAGATCACCACGGCCAGTATCATCGATAGGGAAGAGCAAGCGTTTTACCAGCTAAAAGTGGTGGCTAGTGGGGGGGCAATAACTGGAGACACTATGGTCAATATAACTGTCAAAGATTTAAATGACAATTCCCCTCATTTTATTCATGCAGTGGAAAGTGTAAATGTGGTTGAGAACTGGAAAGCTGGGCATACCATATTTCAAGCCAAAGCTGTTGACCCCGATGAAGGTGTCAATGGCATGGTCCTTTATAGTCTGAAGCAGAATCCAAAGGGCCTTTTTTCCATTAATGAACAAAATGGCAACATAAGTTTAGAAGGGCCACTTGACATTACTGCTGGGTCTTATCAGGTAGAAATTTTGGCCTTGGATATGGGAGTTCCACAGCTCTCCTCCAGTTTTATTCTAGCTGTTTCTGTCCATGATGTAAATGATAACTCACCTGTATTTGATCAGCTTTCCTATGAAGTCACTATTTTGGAGTCAGAACCCGTGAATTCCAGATTCTTTAAAGTGCAAGCTTCTGACAAGGATTCAGGAGCAAATGGAGAAATAGCTTATACTATAACTGAAGGAAATACCGGGGATGCCTTTGGCATATTCCCAGATGGCCAGCTGTATATAAAGAGTGAACTGGACCGTGAGCTTCAAGAAAGATATATTCTACTGGTTGTTGCTTCTGATAGAGCAGTAGAACCACTTAGTGCTACTGTGAATGTTACAATAATTTTAGAGGATGTAAACGATAATAGACCATTGTTTAACAGTACCAATTATGTGTTTTATTTTGAAGAGGAACAGAGTGGTGGTTCATTTGTGGGTAAAATAAATGCTGTTGATAAAGATTTTGGACCAAATGGTGAAGTCAGGTATTCTTTTGAAAATATGCAGCCAGATTTTGAATTGAACACAGTAACTGGGGAAATAACAAGTACTCATCAGTTTGACAGGGAATCTCTTATGAGGCAAAGGGGAGCAGCAGTATTTAGTCTTACAGTTATAGCAACAGATCAGGGGTTGCCAAAACCTCTAAAGGATCAGGCAACTGTGCAAATTTATATGAAAGATATCAATGATAACGCACCCAAATTTTTAAAAGACCTCTACCAAGCTACTATATCTGAATTAGCAGCAAATCTAACACAAGTTTTAAGAGTTTCTGCTTCGGATGTTGATGAAGGTAATAATGGCTTGATTCACTATTCTGTAATTAAAGGAAGTGAAGAAAACCAGTTTGCAATAGATAGTGTCACAGGACAGGTAACATTAGTAGGCAAACTGGACCATGAAGCTACTGCATCTTATTCACTTATCATCCAAGCAGTAGATTCTGGGACAGTTTCCCTCAGTTCAACTTGTACATTAAGCATTGATGTACTAGATGAAAATGACAACAGTCCTTCCTTCCCTAAGTCTACTTTGTTTGTGGATGTCTTGGAAAACATGAGAATTGGTGAACTTGTATCTTCTGTCACTGCTACTGATTCTGATTCAGGTGACAATGCGGACCTCCATTATAGCATTACAGGGACTAATAACCATGGAACCTTTAGCATTAGTCCCAATACTGGCAGTATTTTTCTGGCAAAAAAGTTGGACTTTGAAACGCAATCTCTGTTTAAACTAAACATTACGGCAAAGGACCAAGGCAGGCCTCCTCGGTCTTCAACAATGTCAGTGGTAATACATGTTAGGGATTTTAATGACAATCCTCCTAATTTTCCTCCTGGGGACATTTTTAAATCTATTGTTGAGAACATTCCTGTTGGTAGTTCTGTTATTTCTGTGACTGCTCGGGATCCAGATGCAGATATTAATGGGCAGTTAATGTATGCAATCATTCAACAAATGCCAAGAGGTAACCATTTTCGTATAGATGAAATCAGAGGAACGATATTTACTAATGCTGAAATAGATCGTGAATTTGCTAATCTCTTTGAGTTAACTGTCAAAGCTACCGATCAGGCTGTTCCTGTGGAATCTAGACGATTTGCTTTGAAAAATGTGACTATTTTAGTTACGGATCAAAATGATAATGTTCCTGTATTCATATCGCAAAATGCTCTTGCAGCAGACCCTTCAGTTGTGATTGGTTCAGTCCTAACTACAATTATTGCTGCAGATCCTGATGAAGGAGCAAATGGGGAAGTTGAGTATGAAATAATTAATGGGGATACTGAAACCTTTATTGTGGATCGTTACAGTGGAGACTTAAGAGTGGCCTCAGCTTTGGTACCTTCGCAGCTCATATACAACCTCATAGTTGCAGCTACAGACCTTGGTCCTGAAAGAAGAAAATCAACCACAGAGATGACTGTTATTCTGCAAGGAGTTGATGGACCTGTTTTCACACAGCCAAAATATATTACTATTTTAAAAGAAGGTGAACCAATTGGGACAAACGTAATAGCGATAGAAGCAGCTAGTCCAAGGGGCTCTGAAGCCCAAGTGGAATATTACATTGTGTCAGTGCGTTGCGAAGACAAAAGTCTTGGACGTCTATTTACCATTGGGCGCCATACTGGTGTAATCCAGACTGCTGCCATTTTGGACAGGGAACAAGGAGCGCGTCTGTACCTGGTGGATGTTTATGCCATTGAGAAATCGGCTGTTTTGCCCCGAACACAACGAGCAGAGGTAAAATACTTTACTAAATAAATATTTACTCTTTCATTTCTAAATTAACCATTTCTCTAAATTAATTGTACTTGTCACATTAACTGGTCATTCTGATTTCACAGATATCAGTGTTCATTTTCAGTCAAAGCTGCAATAGCTTATTTCTCATTGCATTATTTTGCCAGAGAAAGAGCCTTTTACATCATTGTGCAACAAATGATTTTTCTTTGAACCTATGCATAGAGCAGCATCAGCAATATTTCTTGTTTGCAGCAGTTTTCTGTCTGATTTTTAGGAGATGGGCCTATCTTTTTTTTTTTTTTTTTTTAGGCTACCTTCAACATAGTG